TCACACTTTGAGATACTTGCACACATTTCACACTTGCTAAATTATTAATAATTCTCATGAGCATTGATGGTAGCCACTATATCTGTAATTGAGAAGTTTTTTGCTTTCTGAAGACCAGAAACAGCATTTATATTCTGCCTTCCTGCATAAAGCTTGTTTTGTATGTCTTACTATGCAATCAAAACATAAAACCAAACATGTCCCTGACCCAACCTCTCTACGCTACCCAGGCCAAACTGGCTTCAAGTTCTTAGATATGCAAGAACTTCTAGAATTAAGATGGTGCTAAATTCTAATTTCTTTCTCAACTTGTTGTGGGCAATTTTAGTTCCATTGAAGTTAATGAGATTTTTCCAAGGCATTAAACATGGTCATAATTTCACCCAGAAATGGTGCGAAGCAGAAAGAATGGAGCTTAACAGATATTCAGTGAAGCAACTGGAAGAAGAAAAAGCAAACCTACTTTATATTTTTCAGAAGTGTCAAGGTAAAACATGAAATGCAGGCCACTAAGGGAGAATAAAACCCATGGAAAGGAGACATTTGTTTCGCAAGAATGCTTTACTGAGCACAACTGACTAAATATAGCATATCAGCGATAATATACTCTCCTATATGCAAATGAGTCTCCAAGTATATTGCAAATATAGACAGCATAACAGATTCTCTTTATTGATGACAAATTAATGAAGCCCCTTCCTGAAAGGAACTTCAAGGGACTACCCCCATGGGGTTGCAGTATGCTAAACATTTTACACATAGGAAGTCTGTACTATGATGATACATACAGCAAGTACTTGTTCATCACAGTGTTACCTTCCATGTTACTTGCTCATGACTAATACAGACCATACGCTTCTTGTGTACTTAGCACTGTATGTTTGTGAGACAGCAAAAAAAAGTTCACACTATGAAACATTCATGACAGACAATTCATTTTTATTTCTTAAACAAATAGATGGTTTGTTATACCGTATTTTTCAATAGTTGCAAGCAATTTCAGTATATCATTAGGTCTAAGATACAGGAACCAAGCGTACATAATTGAAGACAAAGGAAACTGAAAACACGCTTGACAGAACTAACAGGGAAATGAAATCAGTAAATGCAACTGCCACATCCCTTCATTTGATGTCTGTGCAAAAGCATCTTCTAAAGTTCCAAGCACACAGCATACACCAGTTAGCTTATTTTAAACACCAAATTTGTTTCAGTAATCTATATGGGTAACTAATGCTTTATCATAGATATGAAATTCCTTTAGGTGCTTTATTTTTGCATGCATGCTCCATTCCTTATTGATATGTTCCCTTTTTAACAGAGTCTTTATTTGTTTTAAAGATCAAAGTGGATAAACTCAGTACAAAGCTATGCGGCACAGGCAACACCTGGTTCTGCTACCCAGACACATCCTCTTTCCCTCACTCCCACTTCTGACCTCTCTCTGCAGGTGACTATGAGTGAACAGCTAGTTCTCTGTGAGACCTGAATGGGACATACACGTTGGCAGATGTGGGCGAATACTTTAATGTTTATTAATCTAAAAAAGAGTAAAGATTACAAAAATATAGGGAGTAGAAAACCTTAGACAAGTTAAAATACATAAAATCTCTAGGTAAAGTCTATTTTGGTCAGGCAGAGTTTAGTTTATCAAATGTCAATCCAAAGTAACAGGGGTATAAACTAAACAAAAACATTATAGTAACTTTATACTAAAAGGCGACAGTTACCCTTCTTTCCTAAGGCCACTGTACCACAGTAAATACTCTGATTCAGTGTATTTCAGCATCCACATATCAGAG